TCACATAATAATGAGGAATAATAAACCGTACAAATGATTAGAATACTTTTCACAGTATACGGGTCGGAGAATTCTTTTTAACGCTACTATTACATGACTCAGGAAATTACCTCAAGTTTCACGCTGCAATTAAACAAGCTTATCCAGATATTAATATAATTTCGAACTGTGACGGGTCTTCCAAACCATTGAATCATCCGGCTGATTTATATGATTTTCATGTAAGCTGCTCAATGCTCTTTTTGGAACATATATCAAATAGTTGACATTTGACAATACCTTAAAAGTAACATTTTCTCGTTTTGCTTCTGTGATTAGATTTATAGCTCTGCAAGTGACGTGTTTTCTTTGAATACAAAATTTGACCATGTATCACGGAGTGGTCCAAAGGTATGTTAAACTTTCCGATGGGATTATACAGCCCAGTTCTGAGGGTTCATTCTTAATGGTCCTATCTATTTTTCTTTCCGTAGGCTTTTATAAGTGAATATGCTGTGACTGAGAGGAAAGATTGCGGGACAGGTAGCCTTTTAGCTGCAGTGGCTGAAGCTGGATTCCTTATCGGGGTTGAAAGGAACAGGTATTATATTTTCTATTTTACGGGTATTTTGAACGAAGAAACTATGTACCGAGTAAGAGATAGCTAAGGCCCGTTTTCTTGACTATTGATAAATTTATTTACTACAGTTTATACAAAATACATTCTTTATATTTTTGCCGATGATATTTGTATTTGTCCTCCTTGCAGTGACGCAATTGAAATGGCAAGTTACGCACCTCTATTTGTGAATGTCAATGACAGGTGGTGAGTATTATAACCTTTCCCGTTCTTTCTTCTTTCTTTATAAACGGTGTTTCTCTACGACAACATTCTTAGGAACAGTCCTCCGTTCTCTTAGGTGGAACCCGGATGCAATCGTTTTCTCTTCTTCTCAGCACTATGGAACTCCGAGTTACTGGATGCAGCACTTTTTCAGAGAGTCGAACGGGGCAACTCTGTTGAGCTCTACACTCCAATCTAATATTTCAAGTTCACTCGTCACGTCTGCTATCACTTGGAAAAACTCCGAGGATAACCAGGAGTATTTGAGAATAAAGGTTTGAATATTTTTACCCAACTGTGAAGTAATGCATTTGTATGATTTTGTTTTCCGTCTTTTTTTTTTTTTCCTTCTATTTTTATTAATTTCATTGGCGACTTGCTAAATATCATATGCAGGCCGTTAACTTCGGGGCCAAAAATGTGACACTTACAATCACCGTCCATGGTTTCGAGCAGAACTCCATACAGTTATTGGGGAATGCGATAACTGTGTTAACCTCTAGTAACGTGATGGACGAGAACTCCTTCAACAAGCCTACAAAGGTACGAACATTCTTATGAATCGAAAGAAAAATCAAATTTTGACAGCCCCATATTTTCCAAGTTCGCCATTTGAGTTGACGGGTTTAATCAACCGGGGAACTACGAATATACATACACACATACATACATACATGTATGTTGTTGATGACTGATATTCTTGTTGGGGTTAATGCAGGTGGCACCCATTGAAACCAAACTACAAGGAGTTGAGAAGATGGATGCTGTAATGCTGCCTCCATATTCCATCACTGCAGTGGACTTCTTACTAAAACCAGCCAATATCAGGCCTGTTGGATCTGATTCTGCCCTAAAATCTTCATACTAATAAGGCTATGTATATTTGACAAGAATAAGAGGGGATACAAAAAAAAAAAAAAAAAAAAAAAAAAAAAAGAGGAAATAATGTAATGTTAGTATGCTACTCTGATCTAAACCCTGATGTATCTAGTGCATGGTGGTGTTTATAATATAATGTTGCTCTCTGCAAATGAGATGTTTGTTACTCCCTTCTTGTCTCCCATTGTGAAGTAGATAAAAGATTTTAACAAGTCCAAAATTCAATAATAGTCTTTCGGTTAGACCTTCTGAGTTTAAGTTAAAATGTTAAAGGTCTGACCAGAAAATGTCTAGTTTAACGTCTCCAACTTCTCTCTAAAGTTTTCATTAGTAGTCCTTCATTAGGTTATCGATGGAGCAATTGTGAAATAATTAGAATGTTAAATAGGTTATCGATGGAGCAATTGTGAAATAATTAGAATGTTAAAGGTTTAACCAGAAAATGTCTAGTTTAACGTCTCCAACTTCTCTCTAAAGTTTTCAGTAGTAGTCCTTCATTAGGTTATTGATGGAGCAGTTGTGAAATAATTAGAATGTTAAAGGTTTAACCAGAAAATGTTAGTTTAACGCCTCCAACTTCTCCCTAAAGTTTTCATTGGTAGTCCTTCACTAGGTTAGGTTACCGATGAAGCAGTCGTGAAATAGTCATGAAATTTGTTTTCTATTTCATAGACTTAGTTATTTTTTATGTTCGTAGGTTTGTGTTTGGGATAAGCTCCTTATACGCACAATTGTTTTATTATTAAAAAAAAAAAAAAAAAAAAAAAAAAAAAAAAAAAAAAAACTATCCTGGAAGAGTTGGGCCAGGCCCATTACATGGGATGCAGATTTGTATGCTGTAAGGCCCATCATCGACGGCTCCTCTTTGAGAGTTACGCAACTGAAATTGCTTCTTTCTCTTTGTAGAGAGAAGAGAGTAACAGGCGAAGAGAGAAAGAGAGAGAGATGAGTGGAGCTGTAGCATCAGTGTCGTTTCTAGCTCGGAGAGCAGCGCAGAAGGAGAGAGTGCGGATTCTCTACCGCCGCGCCTTGAAAGACACTCTCACCTGGGCGGTCCATCGCCACCTCTTCTATCCCGATGTATCCCTCTCTCCATTTCTAGGGCTTCTTTCCATTCGATTCGATCTGCACGTTCTGTTTTATTCACGCGATCTTATCTCCTTTCAATGCAATTCATAACCGGCGATGTTCTGTGCTTCTTTCAGGCCGATGCTCTCAGGGAGAGGTTCGACGCTAACAAACACGTGGTTCGTTTGCATTTCCTCTCAATTTATTATATGATGATTATTCTCTTGTGCGAATGTTTTCTCCTATTTATATGGAAAAAAATTCACTTATTAGGCAGAAATTGTTGTGCCTCTAACCTAATTAATTATACTATATGATCAGTTCAATGATGTAGAAAAGGTCTGATTTTTCTGGAAAGATTGTTGCTTTTGTAGATTATAGCACCTTATTATAGCTTTTTGAATTTTAATAAACAAGATGGATTTATTGGCTAGGTCTTATGAATTAAATACTCTGCATAATCAAGTTGTTTGATTCCAAATGTCTTTATTTATGTGTTATTCTTAAAATGGTTTTTGTTTGGGATACTGATTACATGTCCATGTTTCACAATTAGCCGTGTTAATTAATACTTTTGTGGTAATGAGTTCACTGAAAGTGGAATGGTTTCATGTTTAAATGTGGATAACATAAATATCTTGTTCAGTTAGTTGATATACATGTTTTCTCTTATTAGAACCTTGTTGTATCTGGTGAAAGTAGAAAAGGATATGTATATCCTGAAAATAAACTTTAATTGTGAATATGGACTTAGGTGTGATGATCACAATTTTGGACCCTTTGTCATAGCTGATTGATGATCAAAACAATAACCAAAAGCTTTACTTCGTTACAAAATTGAGCATTTTACTCATCTAGTCAATATTTTCCAGTATCATGTTTACTGCTTCCAGAATTGTATCCACACATGATCTTGCAATCATTTCATTTTGTTGACATCCAGGAAGATGTTGAAACAATTGATAGAATGATAGACGATGGTGAAGCTACTTATAATAAGTGGCGGCATCCTGATCCTTATATTGGTGAGTTCTATTTGATCTCACGCTCTTGACAATTGGGATTTTAGCTACACTATTAGAACAATGGAAAACTATGTTAAATCCCAAGGAGTAATTATTTTCACTTTTAGGTCATTTTTGTCATGTAAATTGGCCAATGTTGTTCTAATTTTTGACAAAATGTCACTTTTTATTTATCCTAAATATGCAGTTCCATGGGCTCCTGGTGGTAGCAAGTTTAACCGAAATCCAGTGCCGCCTGCTGGGGTAGTTTGCTTAAAACTTTTCTTTTGTCCTTCACAAAATATGTAGTAAAATATCGACTCCTCTTTTTTCTGATAATATGCTTTACTAAATTCAATTTAGAGGATCAATAATTGATCTATGAAGCTCTCAAGTGCATATGTAAACATTAATGCTCACATACATGCATTTCTTTGATTTGCTTCTGATGCAGATTGAGATAATATATAACTATGGCAAGGAAGACAATGATTAAGGTTGATCCTTTCTCGAGGAAATGATTTAAGGTTAGAATCCTTCATTTGTGTATGTTAACATTTATTTGCCCTCCATTAGTTGCAACTATGGTCTCATGCCAAGCAGTCTGATGAGGTGGTTTATTTGAGACAGAAATGATTGGTTGTACTGTCTTTGAATTTTAGTTTTTGTCCTTCTATATTGTTGCTCGTGTCACTTTAGTGTAGAACTTTATAAGACATTCTTCAAAAAAAAAGTTATTTTGATCTAATATACCTTATTGTACGAAAACAAAGTTTGCTTTATACTTCTAAATTGTTTCCATTGCAGATTTGAGGAGGTACCCGTGCACTGGAAGAAAATTCCGATCCATGTTTAGTGTTTTCCCCGTTTTCCCCAGTGAAGTTATATTTCGACTTTCACAAATTAATAAAATCACAGAGTTGATACTTAACTGGTTTGCTGTTGAGGCAGCTTTTGCACTTGTGGTTTAACTAGATTTTCTTTCCTTGGTAGTCATTGGTTTAAACTTAAAAAGGTTCCTTGAATGATATTTGGCAAGCAGCCTTTAAATTTGTAAAGAATCATTTTGGAACATATATGTGGTGTTGCTTTCCTTATTCTTGTATGCATAATAAGTGACAATTTGGAAAATTTCCCCACTTTTATCCCCCATACTAGTATGCCACTTACTCAATGACTCTAATAGCATTTATTTATTCAAACCATGAAAGTGGATCAACAACAAATGTGATCGAAACCCGAAGGCATGATTCTCTTACTTGAAAGCCATAAGTTCGAGTCTTGTCACTTTCTAGTACAATTTATTTCTCTTGTGTAGCTTTACCCAATTCACAGCCTCAAGAAGAAATTGTTAAGAAGTTTCCTAGCTTTTGAATATACAATAGGCTCAAGAAAAGATTTTAAGATCACAAGGGCTACAAGGGAGTTAAACATTCAGGCATGAAATGTTATAACAAGCTACACATTCTTGTTCTTCTTCAACTTTGAAGGAGGCCATCTCCCCTTCTTCCTTAAGCGGCGCTTCCTATCGAGCTTCTTCCTTCTCAGGCTAATTTTCTTTGCCACCTTCATCCTCATCTTCTGCTCAAGCTTCAGTTGAAGCTTGGGCTCCAATGTATCATTCTCAAAGGGCAAACTTTCCTCTTCGCCTTCTGAGGGAGGCTCGGGATTGTCAGTGTCCATGCCATCAGCAGCATCAGAAGCTGCATTGGCAATCAACACACCTCTCTCTTTGAACCCATAGGGTGCACAAATCCAGTAATTGGTGTATGATTTCAGAGGCAGAACATTAGAAGTCTTAACAAGCCTGGAGACTAGTAGAAAACCGATTACATAGTTCAGACACTCTTCTCTAACATGAATCCAGAAAACAAAAATGGAGTACATTAGCATGATCTTTTACTTATTCTTGGATTTTTTTGCCCCCACATGCAGCTCAATTGGTACTTAGATGGTAGATTGGGAGCAAGGACAATGTGGTGGGCACTAGTCATTCGTCCTTTCACATAAGATAAGAGGCCGTTGAGTCACTGTAATTTATCCCTCCACCACTCTGTTGGGAGAGGGATTTCGTCTTTTGTGAACAAAATAAAGAAAGTAAAACCCTTAATTCAATTCATTATCTTAGCACCTATCAACTTCTCCTCCTAAGTCTCTCTTTTTTATCAGTCACCCAACTTGAGCTCAAACTCTTCAACAATTAACTGAATACCAACGCATACACTTAATAAGGTTTGCCACACTACAAAAAACAGGATACTAATAAGTAATAAAATGCTCAACAGACATTGCCTTGCCAGAAAGGGCGCAAATAAGAAAGCATCAAAAAAGGCCAAGAAACACATATATTGGATCTTGAATCCTGACAAAAATAGATAATGCCTTTGGTTATTAGTTATCACTGCCTCATTATCTATATTTATGATCTTTCTCTGAGTTGTTGGACTTGAAGAAGTTTTTCTCAAACTAGTGTTGCCGGGATTCAAAATCTCTAATTCTACCTTTTTCAGTCAATACCCACCCGATAACCTCCCCATGTCATTTCTCTAAATAGACCATATTTACATTGGTATGTATTAATCCCACCACATTAAATGGGTAATCAAGCCATTTTACCAAGAACAAATTAAATGGTTCAAAATTGAATGGGTTACTACACCAAGTTGCCAACTATTTGACCAACTTTATGATTCAATCTTCTACTATATGACCTAATTTGAAGTGCCAAAGATGTTTAATTAAGTTTTTTGAGATCATCCTCTTAGTAGTGTTGTGTAATAGTGTGCGATCGTTTAGACTATCACCATAAATTCAGGATTGAAGTTTAAGTGCCAACACAATTATGATTAAAATCAATGTAACAGTTGAAGAAAATTCACAATCATTCTTCAACAAAACTGGTATGGGCGGAGATAATATTTCCATAAACCCGAGGAAAAAAAAAAGGAAAGGAAGGGAAGGCGTGAGGAACTAGAGACTTACAGTGATGAGGGGAGAGCGAATTAGATGATAGTGAATGCGAGGCGTGGGGAATAGCGATAGTAGTTGCGGTGAAGGAGATGAGCCCAGCTGCCTTCATTTCTTCTCTTCTCTTCTCTTCTCTTCTGGATATATTTAGCTTTTCTACGGTCCGGGATTTGAAGTTTTGAACAATGGAAGGAAGAAGACAAAGGCGTGAAGTCATACACATTAAACAACAACTTCCGGTCTTGATGTTAATCTCACAGGACTGACTGTTACGCAAAAGCCCAATCATCAACCACCAATTTTAGTTCCTCAATTGAGAGTTTGTGACTTATTATGTGTCGCAAAAAGCGAATACTATCTAACCTTTCTGAACCTGGCTTCACTCTCACCAGCAAGCTGGAGTCCCAACAACTCGATCGCCGCCGTACTCTATAAATTTAATGTCGCTTAATCTCTTAATTATTATCAAAATGACAAATTTAACTCCTCAATTTACACTAAATGTCAAATTCACCGTTAATATGTCACCTAGTAATATAAGGGGGTTTCACACGTAACATATAGTTATTGTATTACTATATGTAGCAAATAGTTAATAATTGATTAAATTAATTGTACGAATAATATTAATGATTTATTAATTATTAATTATTTAGTAAGTAATATGTAAAATTACTTATAAAACATAACTATATTATTAAATTTATTAAATTATCATTAATTTTAAAATAAATTTATCTTAAAAGTTATTATTACTCTCCAATCCTATGGTCATAATTTCACGATAAAGTGTCATTTCTGCTTTTCTTCTTTATATACATTATACAAACCTTAATAAATTTGCGTTACATTTTTGAAAACTTTGTCTATTTCTTGTTTTTTTCGTTCTTTTAGTCTGAAATTCATAATTTTTGGGGAATAAAAATTTACTGCGTTGTTGATGGAGGCCATTCCTGACAAACTACCACGAAGGCATAAATCACCCCGGCCAATAGAAAGCAGAAAGTTACCACATACCAAGACCAAATTAAGCCAACAAGCATCATAGAAATATAGTGTAATAATTCATACAATAAGATACAATAGCAATACGTATCCAACTAACGCCACAAAAATGAAGAAAAAAAATTAAGGCAGAAAATTATTCAGTAATATCGGCATATAGAGAGTGCTTTCATATCATATGCTACTCAAAAGTGAACATTCACTGGTCATAGAGTATGAATTATCAAAGATACAGCTACAGTTGAGATAAGAAATTGTTCATAAGAAGCATGATATATAGATAGCGGTGGAAGAAGAAACTCATACAAACATCGATAATTCAGGCCTGCTGTATGTATTGTTCGCGTCGTCCTCCAGGATGGGGTAAGCGGCCACAAGCGCATCCTGAGCGCCAATGTATAGTGAATTGTAGATCTTCCAGTAAACTTCTCGGACTTTGCGGGCAGGATGGAACAGTCCCTGGAGACAGTAATTGAGGATGACAGCAGCCCCGAGTGCGACTCGCATACCTTCGATGGCCTCCATGACAGCGTTGATGACATGGGGGGAAGTTTCGAAAATGTTTGGCCAGACGTAGTTCATAAGGTGGACCAGTGCATCTTCGCATCCGAGGCCAGCGACCCCTAGGGCCATGTGCTTCACAGCAGAGGCGGCAGTTTGCCTGTGTACCAGATCTCGGTCCATTAGAGCATCTTCGAGCAAGGGAGTTACGGCGTATATGTAGTCCTTCCCCATTTCGCCAATGTACTCGAAAAGAAAGGAGAGGGATTTCAGGACACCGTTCTGAACATTAAGCTCTGGGACCCGATATTCATTCATTAGTGCAGGGAGGACAGTGAAAGGAGAGCAGGTTTCCGCAACAATTGCAATTGCCACAGTTGTGCACACACGGTTCTGACGTTCCTGCACCTTGAGATTGTTCAACAAAGTTGCAAGGACATCCTGGGGCCCAATAGCTTTAGCAATATAGCCAAATGTGTTGACTGTTGCTCGTCGAATACCCTTCTTATGGGCTTTAAGCATCTCGAGAAGTTCAAAACAGATTCTCATCCATTCTCTTGCAGGTACAAACTCAGCCCCACGGTCAGCAATACGTCCAACCAGATCAATACAGTTCTCCTGGACCTTCTCATGACGATTCTTCAAAATAGGGGTCAACCGAGGAAGCAAATCCTTAATGGGAGGAGTCATCTTAGTCATACCAATAACATTCACAATTGCCTTGAGAGCACCCAGAATTGACCCCAGAACCTCAGGATATTCTTCTCCCAAGTACTCGTACAACACAACACCAAGATGGCCCATTAACTGTTCTTCTCCACACTGTTTCATGACCACTGCAATCCTGGAAATCAAATCTGCAGCTTGCTGTCTCACTTTAGCACTCTTATTGTTCAGACGCCACTTTATTGTACCACAGATCTGGGGGAGGTAGGGCTTCACCCTCTGTCCAAGGGCATTCACAACAGCACCAAATCCATTGAGCATTACATTGGCATCATCACTGGTCTGTTCTTGGAAAGCATAAAGAATGCCATCAATCAGAAGCTCTTCTAAACGAGCATCAATATCAGATGCACCAAGATTTGCAACCACCTTCTCAATTGTCTCCATGACCATTCTTCTATATGGTTCACTTTCATCTTTTAGGTCTTCCACGACTCTCCCTACTATATCTGCAACACCCACCTTGTTTGCAATTTCTACAGTTGTTTCAACAAGCTGCTTGTAGTTTCGGCGATCCAAAGCCATTCTCCTAACCCAGAAATTACGGAAGAACTCTGGAAGAATGTCATTTCTGATATATTCAGCCTCCACACCTTCTGTACTTACACATTGTTTCACCACTTTCAGCACAATTTTCTTCATCTCTTCATCAGGAGATTGAAATTCACGAATCAGAATAACCATAACCTCCTTGGTATAGTAGCTGGCATAGATGGCATCCATAAGAGGAATGATAAAACCAATAGCCTTCAAGAATGCAGCCAAAACCTTTCCACGATGCGATCTAATACCCTTCCACAAGGGCTTCAAAACTGAATCAAAACTCTCAATACCATATGGTGCAGCAGCCTCAGCAAGTGCAGCCAGAGAAAGAGCTGTAATGGTTCGGACCTTCTGGTTCTCATCATTTAATCCATGTTCTATAATTTCCACCAAAGATCTCAAGTGTGGAAGAACAGCACAGCCAATTAGAATAGCAATCTGTTGAACAATCTTAATACCTGTGTGACGAGCCTGCCAAGATTTCTTACTCTGACAGACTGCTTTCAGAAATGGTAGCAAGGCGGGAATACCAAGTGCAGAGGCAACAACACTGAATGCTCTAGCAGTGGTATTCCTGACATATTCATCAATGTTATCAATATCTGGACGCATGGCAGCAATCATAGTTGCCAAACCAGCTGCCTTGCTAAGGTTAGAGATAATCTCCCTTCCTTCAACACGAGCATAGTAATCTTCATCAATCAGTAGAGGCTCAATCACCACAAGAATCTTGTGTACATATGGACGAACCAACTCATCCAACTTGTAAAGTACCCTATCAATAACCTTCACAAGTAAGTGTCTCTCTTGGTCTTCCAAGGTTGGTTGCATGAGCAATGGCAGAATGCGATTGAAGAGTGGACCAGCACCAAACTCTCTGGCCTTATCAGTCAGCTGTCTCAAAGCTGTTTTCCTCTGAGGGGGTGTCCCATTCTTAACCTTGAGCAGAAGTTTCATAATCTTACGTTCCTTCTGCTCATCAGGAGACAACTCCTCTTCATTTTCCTCATTCAGTAAGGCACCAAAGTATTGGTAATCCTCAGGTTTCATAAGTGGCAAGCCACCTGGCATTTCTTTCGGTACATCAAACTGTTGACCCCTATTTTCCTCAGGAATGTTATAAAGAGGAGTCCCAATTGGAGTTGGGGTGGCAAGAAGCTTCCTAGCAGGTGTTCTGATAGGAACATAGGAAGCTGGAGGTTCCAATATCTTATAACCTTCTTGAGGAAACATTGCGTCAAGCTCTTCATCAGTCAAAGGGCGATTTCTTTCTTCAATGTCCTTCTCCCACCTCATTAGGTTATATTGCTCTGGTGTAAGTGGGCCACGAAGATTAATGGCACCAGGGGTAGGAGTAGCAAGTTCACTTCCACCAACAGGAGTTACACCTGGTGTATAAGCTGCAGCTGGGGTAGCACCGGACATTGGTGTTGCACTTCCCATAGTTGCTGGAGTCTCATCCCACCTTGATCTCTGTCTTTTGGGTGTAGGAGTAGCAAGACCCAAATTTTTTGGTGTAGCATCCCATGTCATTCCAGCAGGGGTTGCACCAGGAGTAACACCACCAGCAGATGGGGTAGCATCTGAATCAGCCAACCGCCCAGGAGTGGGGGTTTCATCCCACCTATTTTTCCTCACTGAAGGAGTAGCATCACCAACCCTTCCAGGTGTGGGAGTTGCATCCCACCTTCCAATCCCAGGAGTTGAGTCTGGAAGATCCCAGTCAGAACCTGTTTTGGCCTTCTTCTCTTTCGCACTATTCTCATCCTGAGACTGGTCCCACCTATTCCTCCTCTTCTGGGCAGGCTTTTCAGCTTCCGTTTCTTTCTCTGCAGCCCTTGCCTCTTCTTCCTTTTTCTTCTTTGCAATTTCTTTCATCAAATCTTCCTTTTGTCTCTTAAGAGCCTCCTCCCTCATCACATCCGCATACGTCCTCACATCCGGACCAGGGGTCTTATCCAAAAAAGGGTCATTCCTCTCAGGAGAAATAACGCGGTTCAACCTCCTCCTCCGATAATCATCCTCCCTATCAATAATCTTACTCGGTTTATTAAACCCCAGGTTTTCATCATCGTCTCCACCCCTTGGAGCCTCCTTGAAGAATTGTTTTGGGGCAGTGAACGATGCCATCTTCCTAGCAATCTCATTCTCGGCATTCTCAAAAGCATCTTCCTCATCATTCACAGGTATAGACTTTTCATAACCCTCAAACCGGTCAGTGCTGTATAGATCAGTATCAAAAGTCACAGCAGAAAGAGAAGCAAGCTGCTGCTCCATCTTCTTCCTCTCCTCCTGTGTCTTCTGTATCTCATCATCCATTTTGAATCCCTAGATAACCTTCCGCTGAAGCTGCAAACTTAAACAAAATTCCCGAACCCTAGTTTAACCTACAGCGAACCAGTAAGTAAGCCAAAGCCCGTAATTGTACACACAAACAACTTCACGCAAATCCCAAAATCAGGGACCTGCATACAAAATGAATCCAAATATCGTTTGTTAGAAACTCATAACATTAAGCAAGTTATCGCGAACTCAAACCCTCGCGGGGGAGCTAATCAGTAAACAAAATGAATATTACGCATCAACAGTGCACTACGATTGAAATATTATACGAATCCATGCCAATAAGAAGAACAAATCGATTCTTACTAAAAATTTAAATTAAAAATTATCACAAATTATGAAATATATAATCAGAAGGATCTTCTCATGCAAGCAAGCGGTTGATGAAATGAATGCAATTTGATGATAATGCTGACCTGATGGCAGCGATCGGTTGCTATTCAAGCAGTTGGAGAGTAGAGCTTAGCGGAAGCAAATGGCTACGAAATCAGCGTTCAGCATTTTATAGTGGATCCAAATAAGGGTTTCGAAATTGGAACCCTATTCGGATAAACCGACTAAGAAGGTCGTTCTGACCGCTCCATTTTTATTTTTTTTTTTAAACCTTTGGATTATTTGTGGAAAAACCAAAGATACAAAAAAAAAAAAAAAAAAAAAAAAAACACAACAACAACAACAAAAAAGATTTTAAAAAAATAAAGTCTTGGTGCATTAGAGTAAACTAGTATTTTATATGTGCGATGCAGTGAAAAAAATTATATTATTATAAATTTAAACAAAAATATGTAAAAATGTATTATATATATAATAATATAGCTACAATTCTATATATTTGGTCATGTATCTACTTTCATGACATTAAATTAAAATTTTATATAGTTAATATAATTTCTAATTATGTACATATTTAGATAAATTTATAGAGAAAATACATAATTAAATTGATTTACTCTTGCATTCAAAAAAAAAAAATTTGATTTACTCTTAATTGCATCTTGTTTTATTCTTATATATATTACCATTTCAACATACCAATAATAACCAAGATAATTTTTTTTTAAGGCCACGAGGTATCCTAAGCAGACTATTCCTCATTCTCACTGGGTGGGCCCAATGAATGGACAAAGTGCTGGTCATATTGATTTTTTCGAGATGGTTCGAACTCCCAACATCTCTTAAGGGACAAGAGTGCACGGCCACTCACGCCAACCAATCTGGTTACCAAGAAATTTGTATTTATAACTTTTAAAAAATAGTAAATTTTAACTTTTGTACGACTAAATTTAAACTATAATGGGATATATTTCCTTATATGATTATATAATACATTGTATAATATACTTTCCGTAGTTATAATGTATATTAATGGATTTATAATTAAAATACTTGCATTTTGAAATTACACAAACTTAATATTTCAATCTATTAGCTCCGGTCATATGTTGGCATTGCTTCTATTGATTGTACGAATATTATGCGTTCGTTTGTTGACTGTTTTATCCTATTAGTTCTTAGCTCGTCTAATGTATTAACTCACACTTTAGCTATATGGCCTATTCGCAGGCTAACACGTTGTACTTAGACTTTGTTTTCTTTTATTTTGTTTCGGTTCTTATGCAGTAGTCTACCATTGATTTTTTGCTTTCAAAAAATGTACTGTAACTTGGCGGATATTGGTATTTTAATGTTTTAATTAGAAGCATATATTGTACTAGTTTTTTTTTTTTTTTCTTATACTAAAGTATTAATTTAGTGACAATTGTACATTTGTATTGAATATTAATAAACAAGAGAATTGTTATCTAGTATAATAAATATATGTGTAAAGATAATGATAGAATAATCATAGATAGTTGGGGTTGAATTGTTCTAACTTTACATTGTAGCTTGAATTATATGTGAAATAATCAAATTATGTATATACGGGTTGAACTTCCATTTGGAAGATTGTGATTTCGAGCCTCAGTGGAGGCGTTATTGGCTCTTTGTGTTTCAGTAGGTTGAGAAAGTATATGAACAGATACTACATTGTAATAGAGCTAGTAGCATTCAAAAAAAAATGTATATACATTTTTTCACTAGCTTGTTATATTGATTTGATGTTTGTTTTCTTTGTATGCAATTACTGCATTTATTTTATTCACATATCACATATAATAAAATTAAATAAAACTAATAGTTTACAAAAATCTAGATCAATTAGTGCAAAATAACATTAACAAAAGGTTATAACAAGTAGAGCTTTTTTAAATAACGCTATAACATAAAATAAATGATTAGTGATCATAACTCATAATGTGTTACCACTCAATTTGCATTAGAAAATATAAATTATCTTTTGATTCATTGCAATTATTTGACTATCATTGAGTTTTATATAAGCTTTTATTTAATTTACAGTCACTCATTTTTTCACCATAAATTTATTTTACGGGTACGTCGACTTTTATACGTGGACGCGTTTGAATGATTATTGGTTACTTGAATGTATCAATGTGTATTAATCTCGCTTTGATTCATTCAAGTATTTTTATTAAAAAATGTACGGAGTAATATTTTTCAAAAATTATTTTATTGGTTAGTAATAGATTGATTAACATTGCTTTATTAATCAACTAAATCACTAATAAGACATTGTAAAATGGATTAGATAAGGATATATTATAAAATGAATATGACAATGAGATATTGATTAGATAAGGTTTGCACGGATTTAACTCACTGATTCAATATATTATATTTGAAATGAAGGATCAATGTTTGAATTTTGATAGGAATAGTGTATTTTTGTTTGAATGCTACTGACTTTATTAAAATGTAATATCTGTTAAGAGATAGTGTATTTATATTTTTTTAAATGCTATGTTGAATAGAGGTATAGGAGCTTTTGCCGTTGAGGATTTAACTTTTTGGGAAAGATGAATTACACAATATTTTGCTGTAAAATGGTAAAAATTTATGTAGTAATTTTAGTGGGGGAATCCGGGGAAAAAAGTAAAATAAAATGAGGCAATCAAATCTTCTACAACTCGCTTCTCCTTCGTCAATCTTCAGTCTAGCCTCTCTCATTCCTACTACTAGCAGACGATCCAAACCCTAACACACTTCTCAACCTTCGCCAAAATCTCCTGCGCTGAATGTGAGGCTCTAGTTTATACTTCATTGCTTCTAATAAGTAATTTCCGTATTATTTTTCATCGATAATTTATGAAAATATTATCTCGTGTCCTCATTTCTGCACAAGATACTGTGATTTGATTCGTATTTTTGTTTGTTGGTTTTTATATTTTTGACGGATGTATTCACTCTCACTGTATCATTGCCTGTTGGACTTGAAGAAATTGTCTGTTATTATTATATGTTTGTATTAAACAAAAAAATTAATTTGATGCTTTGTGGAATAAAATGTGCTGTTGGTATTTTTCTGCTTTAATTAATGGTGAATGGAGCTATGCATTGTATATAAATGTATGCTAATTTATTGAACATCAACTGTAATTACCTCTCACTGAGGATGTACAGGTATTTATCTGCTTGTATGTTTTAAACGCTTGTATGCAATTATGTATGGACATTGCTGTTGCTAATGTAGGAAATTTAATGCTGATAAAATGGTAGCAATTGATTTTATCATGGACATTGGAAAACCAGTTTCACGGAGAGGATCACATGAAACTGAGTGAAGGAAAGAGACACTGGAAAGTGAAATGTGTTGGAGTATAGTTCAATAGAGAAGTGGGATATTAAAGGCAGATACATAGCACATGAATTGGAAAATATGGAGTAATATATATTTTTTCATATTCTTCTAAAAAGTAAAAATGAATAATGCGTGAATTCAAGTGGACTTAAATCTGAGCATGCTGTGCAAGATATATTTTGGGGAGTAGGAACGGAAGGAAAGGTAAAAAGGAAATGAAAGTTAGAATTTGAGATTTGTTATTTTCACTCTCAATTTGCCTTCTAATGTTTCTGGAATGACTTTGTGACCAGCAACTCAGCAATTGCTATTCGTTTCTTTAGTCACCTATAAGTTTATTTTGAAGCTTGAAGTGTTCTTCCAGCAAACCGCAGGCCTACATCTGCCCAGAGTAATAACAGAAAAGCTCATTTTGGTTCACTCTATTGTCAGCTATCACCATCATCATCTGTTCATGTTCTAAAATAAAGAAGCTAAATTCATATTCAAGTGCTCGGAAGCATATTCCCCCTATATTTTCTCCATCACTCTCCCAGGCCCGTGTTATATGATATTCCATTTTCCTTTTTGTTGGTGTCCTGGTGCAACACTGGATGCAGATGGTAATATCCATCTATTAGCTTTACCATGTACAAACACTAGGTCATAGGTGACTGTTATGAAATTGATGCAAAATTTTGTTGAAAATCTCATGACATCACACGAGCGAAGTAACAGTCAAGTGAATCTGAAAATATAAAATAATAATTTATTCTAAGAGTTTGATCCACCAGTTTGAAATTGGATTTGAGATACATTTTCCATGGATTCCCTTGAAAGGAATTTTTGTTATCAATAAAATGATAGAGAGAGGGATACATTTTCTATCGAGGCTGCCTTCTGTCTATTCAATTGCAAATTACTTGCTTGCTTAGAATTCTTAAGTGATGTTCAACATTTAGAAGGGCGATATTTTAGGGAGTGGAATTTCCATTTTCATTTGCTACAATATGTTGTTTCCTTCTTAGTTTACTATGGAGTGCATTGTATATTGTGTTCTTTTCACTCTACTCTTGTATTTTTGAACGTTGAAATATTGGATGGACTCCACCTTATTTATTTATTGTTTTAAATATGATTTCCTTGATTTGGTTAAACTAATAAGTTTCTTCTATAGCTGATTATGCATTCCAAACAAAATTCATTTTCAGGAAAGCCTGCTGTAATGATCTACTGGCACAAAGTTACCGCCTTTGAGTCTTGCTGATCAGTTCCACAGCCCCTTTATGTTGATTGTCCTGATTTAGTAGGAATACTTTGTAAAAAGAAGAAAAGAACGATTACAACCCTCAAATTTTGTAATTTGTAAATGATGCAACATTTTATATTAGTTTCAGATATTTTGACAGAAATATGTTGACCTGACTTGGATTTATCTCTTCTTTCCTCTTGTTTGGTCTGCTATATATAACTGCAGAGTTTTTGGGTTTCTAATTTTGTATTGATTACGTATTCAAAAGAATTTTGGCATCTTTAAGTTGCATTGTTTGGCTGCCTGAACTCCAAGAAATTTGTTTTGCTGAAAAATGGAGAGCTTGGCACAACTCGAAGTGTTGTGTGAGAGACTTTACAACTCACAGGATTCTGCTGAACGAGCACATGCAGAGAACACTCTCAAATGCTTCTCACTAAACAGCAGCTACATCTCACAGTGCCAATACATATTAGACAATGCATCAACACCTTATGCACTAATGCTGGCTAGTTCAAGCTTGTTGAAGCAAGTGACAGAACAACACCTATCTTTGCAGCTTCGGCTTGATATTCGTAATGTTCTTATTAGCTTGCAGTGACTTAATTTTGAAGTTTTAGTCTATAAGGTTTTTCCTTTTTTTCTTCTCTTATGTGCCTTTGACATCCTCTGTGTAGTTCTAGGTTTTTCACTCCAATCCCTGTCAAATTGGATGAATTATAAAGGTTCTAGAGCAATATATGTTCCACTTCCTATAAATGTGAGATGAAATAAGCTTTTCTTTGTAATATAGTAAAGTTTTAAACTTTGTTTGCATAGTTAGTAATAGATGGTGCTCTGCATAGGTAAGCTAGTGACATGGTTGCCTTGGTGAAGGGGAAAGGGGAGGTTGTGTGTGAAAGAAAATGTGAAAAACAATTGTAGTCCATATGCACTATAAGATGGATCTTGGAAAGAGTTGTGTGCTTCTACCCTGCACTTTTTGCTAATTTATGGTTTTATTTAACTTTAGCCTTTGATTTCTTTCATAATTAAATTTATATATTGAATATTGATTTGTTAATATCTACATATTGTGATACGTTGACAATTAAGGATTTGTTTGGCTAATCTGTCCTCTTTCTGAAGGAAACTATATTATAAAGTACCTGGCCACAAGAGGACCTGACTTGGAGCCTTTTGTAACTGCATCTTTAATTCAACTGTTTTGCCGGGTTACAAAGTATGGGTGGTTTGAAGAAGACAGTTTCAGAGACGTGGTTAAAGAATCAACAAACTTTTTGAATCAGGTAAGTATTGTCTGATGTCTACTGGCCATATAATGCTATAATGACACTGAATAAATTCTTTGGATATTAATTTGTCAAGAGGCATGTGATAATGCTTTTGCCCCTCCCTATCGTGGGGTTTTTTTTTTTTTTTTTTTTTTTTTTGGGGGGGGGGGGAGGTGTTGGAAATATGATATTAGTGCTAATCATGGTTTTCCGTTTACATTTATTATTTTTTTGAAGCTTGTCTTGCTAATATGTTCTTTTTTTTTTTTCCTCTGTTATTTATTTTGCTAGCTCTCCATCTATAGATTTCATTTGTAGGTTTCTTCTAAATCTTGCTTAGAGTATTTGTTTAGCCTTTGAGTCAACTTTGAATCTGCAATATTTATCTATACTTTGTTCTAAATACTTCTTTTTAAAAGGAAAGGTTTGTGTTTACATGTCCTCAAAAGTAAATATGCTGTCTATGAGCTTCTGGTGTGTTGTTTTTTGCTTAATTTTTATTTTACTTGTCCCCAGACACCATTGCATTATGCCATCGGTTTGAAGATATTGAATCAGCTCATCTCTGAGATGAATCAGGTTCATCTTCATCTTAAAACTCCTTGTTATTTTGTGATACTCAAAGGATTATTTATCTTCCTAAAGCCAAGGAAAGGACTAAGAAATATTTACCATGTGACATAGGATTTTATCTTAAGGCTTTGGCTAGATTCATGAGCTTATACTAAATGTATTAGGAACTTGCCAGTAGTGTTAGAGAAGTGCTGAGGGAGGGTATCATAAACCTTTTTGTTTTCACAGCTATATGTGTCATGTGATAGTTTTAATCAATCCATGAGGTAATGGGCTAACAGCAATAAGGAGATATCAGAACTCTTTTAAGCATACCATTACTTTTTAAATTTAATCAGCTAGAATTTATTGACTTAACAAACATCTTTCTCTAAAGAGAAGCTGTTCTTATTTGTTGAATGAGAAAAAACTATGAAGATTGATGGTTTGGCTGACTTCTAGTGCACAATGTATAATGGTAGCTTGAACATCCTATAATCACTGTCTAGAAAGCACTAAAATGCTCTAATTTCCAGAAATTCTTGGTTCTAATACAGCTTTTATGAAGTATAATACTCTTTTGGCATCTTAGTGGGCTAAAATTATGGGGATTCAGGTAGTTTTGGACTACTTTGTTAGATGGCATGTTCTCCTTAAAATCTTGCTTTCTTCCTAGTCTAATATATAAAGTTATATTTTCTATCAAAAGCTTCACCAATCACCATCTTAATTATTCTGCCATACCCTATATCTGGAAGGGAGCTGTACTCTGACTTAAATCAAATTAGTGATGATTTTGAACTGAAGTGGGTTTGCTCCTGTCTTCTTATTGTGCTCACCCTTCTGCTTGTGATACAGTTCTCATATACTAACTATTAAGCCTATTTTTCCTATCTATGAGACTATGACTATCTTTGATTGAGTAGTTCATAAACGTACTATGTTGTCTGCTGATGCATTTCTCTGTATTTCTGCAAACTTTTTAGCCAAGTCCTGGGTTGCCATCTGCACAGCATCGTAGGGTGGCTTGCTCCTTTAGAGACCAATCACTTCTTCAAATATTTCAAATATCCCTTACTTCACTGTCACAACTGAAGAATGATGGTACAATGTCAATACCTTTTTCAGAATTGCAATGCTTGCTTTTTATGAGTTGAGTTTAATACATATGCTCTTCATCACTATTTGTTTTAAATACTTGCCTCCATTGTTGACGATGCAGTTGGTGGCAAGTTACAAGAACTGGCAATTGCACTATCTCTCAAATGTTTGTCTTTTGATTTTATGGCGACAACAGTTGATGAAAGTTCAGAAGATTTTAGCAATATTCAGGTATCTTTAGCATTTCCTAATAGTAATGTAGCTCCTTTATGTACATTTGGAGTTGTTATCTATTGTTCCCGATTAAATACTTCACAGATACCATCTGCGTGGAAGCAAATCCTTGAGGATCCCTCAACAGTACAGATATTTTTTGATTACTATGAAATCAATGAATCTAATGTATCAAAGGAGGTAAGAACATTAGTATTTCTGTTGTCTTTGCAAGTGGATCTTGCACTCAAGTTAGGTAGCTATATAGTTGTCTATATTTGATGTTGTTGTAGGAAGGTGACTTGGGTTTTTCCATGATTCCTTTTGCTTGCTTCCTAGGAAGGCTAGAATATTCAAACCTGTGCTTTTTATTCATTGTCATTGAAATCATTTCATGCACATTCAGTGTACGGATTTGAAATGATAATTAAATTTGATAGCTAACAAGTCTTAAATTTTACTATTAAGGCTTTGGAGTGTCTGGTTCGCCTGGCTTCTGTTAGAAGATCAGTGTTCTCAAGTGATGATGCTAGGATGAAATACTTGTTGCACCTAATGACAGGAACCAAAGATATTCTCCGAACAGGGAAAGGTGAATAAAAATTTTTGCATGTCCAAATTACTGTGTATAAGGGGTAATTGCAACCTTAAATTTTAGTAACTTTCATATTTGTTATGTTCACAGAATTTGCTTGGGCTTGAATTGATCAGTTTTGTGGATCATTGTGTTTGCACAGTTGAATAGTTCTTTGTTCTCCAAAAAGTAAAATTGGTTTCAAAACATCCCAAATTTTCAATTATATGATTATGTTCAGAATTTTAACTGGAGTAGAATATATGTTAACTTGGAATGAGTTATTCAGTGAATCAGTTCATTGATGTGAGACTGCCTATTTTCAGTACTAATCAAAGCCAGTATGATTGTTACTATTTAGTATTGATAATATTGGAGATTTGGAGAACTTCTATGGTGCTGATGGAATTCTCTTCACTCTCTGAAACAGGACTTACACTTCATGATAATTACCATGAGTTTTGTCGTCTTCTTGGACGTTTTAAAGTAAACTTTCAGGTACTCCGCTTCCTTTTTTTCTGATCTATGCACAATATCAACAATATGTTGTTTTTTTTTTTTTTTTTGTTTTTTTTTTTCCCATTTATTTACAATAGTTAAAGGATTCCTAGGTTAAATTTTATGAATGCTGCCTAAACTCAAGCATAGGTGCCTTAGTGTTTATAGATTTAGTTTCCTTGTAGAGATTTCAGGATTCCCAATTTCCCTGTTTCCCCACCTTGTGTCTCCTTGTTCAGTATAAATATCCCATTCAATGCATTCAATTTTATTGGAATGTGCTGAATATAATCTTTCTCTTGTTCTTTTAGTCTTTTGTAGCTTATGCCTGAATGTCAGATCTGTCTCTTTGCCACTCACCAGTCCGTCATCTCATGAATTCTATCTTGAGTTGCCAATGTATGTGAAAATTCTCCAATAAGGCATTGCTTCTTCACTAGTATAATTTGGATGTCTATATCTTTTCTACTTAATGAGATGAGATCAATACACTAAAAAGAGGATTGATTTAAAATTCAAGGCTCCTGCATCATGCAGGTTATAGTGAAGGAAAAATGCACAACATTGCATCTCTTTTTCAGAGGATTTGTTTCTGTGGTGTAAACACATGACCTAAAGATCAACAGAAAATAACTCTATGCTTGAATTCAAAGTGGATGCTTTTAAATAGATCAAAGCTGGTATATTATTGCATATCTTTCCCATTCAGAAGTTAGAAAAAAATCAATTATTAATAACTAAATGATCGCAAAAAAGAAAAGAACCCCAAGTGAGACATCAAACATTGTTAGGCTATAAAGTGACAGCAAAACTTCCATATTGTGCAACACTGCTTCATGTTCAGCTACTCCAAATGATCATATTTACCAATGCAGCTCTAGTTTACTTCAGAAGAATGAAGATGTGCTTTTTGTTGTATCTATTTGGCAGATGAATTGTTTTCTGAAATGCAGAGTGTGTACGAGCTAACACATGAAACCATGGGCACAAACTAAATAAATGAATTGAACATTCTTTAAGTTGTGATCTTCAGAAGTTATGAAGTTTATTTCTGTACATAACTGACATGTTCACTGTATAATTTGCTTCAGTATTGTGAAATGAGTTTATGCTTACTTCCATCTGGTCAGTCTATCATCTCTAAACTGAAAAATGTATATGGGTTGATTTATTCAATAATGAGAAGTAATGGACGAGTATCAAACTAGTGATCTTTGAAAAACTCAGAGGTCATTATATATCTTTGAGCTACCATATTTGCTTTCATGTTTTATATTATTCCTGGGTAAAGCTTCTTACAGAGGTGGTTTTGTAAATTATATTACAGCTGCAAGAGCTTGTAATTGTTGAATGCTATGGTGATTGGATACGTCTAGTGGCTGAATTTACTCTGAAATCTCTACAGTCGTGGCAGGTTGCCAGTTTTTTGTTGATCTTGAGAAATCTTTTCATACATTTGACATTGTTTGTCATTGATCCTGACTTCCTGGAACATCTGATGATATATCATCTTTCTCATCAGTGGGCCAGCAGCAGTGTTTACTACCTCCTTGGACTCTGGTCTAGGCTGGTTTCATCTGTACCATATTTGAAGGGGGACACTCCAAGCTTGCTGAATGAGTTTGTACCTGAGATTGTCAAGTGTTTTATCACATCGAGATTTGGTTCTTTTCAGGTTGGATGCTTTTGATTCTCATGACAAGGTGTTATGAGTTCATCTTATTAATATGTTCTTTTGCCCTATCATTTATTGTTTGCTTGGTGCAGGCAGGACTTCCTGATCCCTCAGAGAATCCCCTTGATAATGTAGAGCTTTTACAGGATCAGCTTGATTGCCTTCCTTACCTTTGCAGATTTCAGGTCAGTTTTGCTCAAGATTCAAACAAAGAATATCAGTATAAAATTAGAAACTAAAGTCAGCATTGTCTGATGACCTGTAACAAACATGCATTTACTGAACTTGGTTTCCTGAGTTGCAGTACGAGAGCTGTAGCTCATATATTATGCAGATTACAGATCCTCTTCTGCAGTTGTATATGGTATGTCAGATATTACCATTCACAAGTTCCTGGAGGTTGGAAAAAACTTTTTCATTTCCAGTATTAACATCTTTAAAATCTATTTAAAACAGGAAGCGGTTGATCTCCAAGTCATTTCTGTTGTTGAAACTAAACTTGCTTGGATAGTGCATATAGTTGCAGCTATTGTTAAGACAAAACAACTCAGTGGTTACAGGTATATCTTTACTTATAAATGTGGGATATATATGTGTTTTTCAATCCATTTACTCATAACTTGTGTTTTTTTTTTCAACATTAGTGGGGAATCACAAGAAATCCATGATGCAGAACTTTCAGCACGTGTTCTTCGGTTGATAAATATCACTGATAGTGGTTTGCATACTCAGGTGAAGTCGTTTCTCCCAACATTTTTGTTCTTATGGAGACAAATGCATTAAAGTTTGTGTTTGGCATGATTTACTGCTCTGGTGGCAAAATAGTTTTTAAGTTTTTTACTTGCATACTTCTTCCTCTGATTGAAGCCTAGGGTGGTTTTTGCATTGAAATGCTCTTACATAGTCTTCTTCTCTATCTTGCAACTGGCAGAGATATGCTGAAACAAACAAACAGAGGCTTGACATTGCTATTCTCATCTTCTTTCAAAACTTCAAAAAATCATATGTTGGAGACCAAGCAATTCATTCATCTAAGGTAAGTGAAATTGAAATTTTGAAACCAATCTATGCTAGATGCTTGGACAATGATGCTAGAGTTTGTTTACTCACATCTTTCTTGCTGTTTGTTTATTGTGAACTGTTTCTCTTGCAGCAGTTATATGCTAAATTGTCTGAACTTCTTGGGCTTCACGATCATATGCTCATCTTAAATGTCATCGTGGGAAAGATTGCAACCAACCTTAAATGCTATGGCGAGGTGATTGTTATAGTAGAGCAATTGGCCTGTTGCTATTCCCAAAGATATTCATGATTTCAATCTTAATCTTGCTCTTTTTTGCAGAGTGATGAAGTTATTGATCAGAGTTTAAATCTCATGTTGGAAATGGCTACTGGGTTAGTGTGTTTCCCATCTTCCCCTCCAAACTGCTTTTTAGCTCCACCCCAACAAAAGCTTACAAAATAACTTTGGAAGTTCAAATGTTATGGTCTCATTATTACTTTTGTTGATATTCAATAATATGCAGATATATGACTGCAAAGCTTCTTTTGAAGTTGGATACTACTCAGTTAATAATCTCCAACTGTAATGTCAGTACAACACTGAATCTCCTATTCCTTTTCTCTGCTGTAAATTTGTGATTTATTGACATATGATGCTTAGATTGGGTTTTACTTGCTTTTTTTTTGCATATTCAGAGGGAACAGTTTCCCTTTTTAAGAGATTACAGAAGCTCACGCAGTAGAACAACGTTCTATTACATATTGGGCTTGTTGATCTTCATGGAAGACAGCTTTTTGAAATTTAAAGCATCAATGGATCCACTTCTACAGGTATTTTATGTTCACTGTAACTGGAAGGAAAAAAGTTAAACTAATTTTACCCATTTTCTTACCTTTCATAGCTTCAGAAGACCATGAAAGGATTCAGTGTATGGAAAATTGCCTGAAATAGGAAGAAAATGAAAGTTACGGACAAAAATAGGAAAGACTAGTGGATAATTGGACAAACCTAGGAAAAATGCTTTGTGGAAATGCGTTTTTGGTGTTGACTGGACCACAAATGCATTTCCCAAAAGCTTCTTTCTTTTGTATTATTATTATTTTTTTAAAACTTATACCCCAAACGCATTTCCGAAATGCGTTTGGGGTATATTCACGTATGCCACAAACCATGTGGCCGCTGCTGTCCCCCTCGCCGCCTCTGTCTCTGGCAAAAACCCCATTTTGCCTATGCAGCGGCTTGGAGCTGCCGTACGGAATGACCGCAGCTCAACTTGACACTATCGGGACGATGAGTTACAAGGATGTACTGACCGAACTGGTGAATTCCCTGGAAGCCATGAACGTGAAACGAGTCAATATCAATATTCTTTCACCAGCAACCACAAGCATAAACCGTATGAATCTCAGCCACAGCATTGACCAGACCCAGTTCAGTCTTTCTTTGTCTACTCCAGGCGGCCACAGCTACGGCAGCGAATTTCTCACCCCATGCGTTTGGGGTACAAGTTTTAAAATTTTTTTAATACAAAAGAAAAAAAGCTTTTGGGAAATGCGTTTGTGGTCCAGTCAACACCAAAAAATGCATTTCCCGAAAGTTTTTTTTCCTAAGTTTGTCCAATTATCAAATCTTCCCTATTTTTGTCCATAACTTTCATTTTCTTCTTATTTCAGTCAATTTCACTTCAGTATATTGTACTTAAAGTTTTAGTTTTGTTACTTAATCTTGTACCTGTAGTGTTAATTTGTTTGTTTTTCAATTATGTAGTTTATCCATACCTTACTCCCAAGATATTCTTAATATTAAATTTCCAATAAATATCTGTTTCAAACTTTTTGTCTGAGTGACAATGATTCAACTGAAGGTTTTCCTGAGTTTGGAATCAATACCAGACTCATTATTTCGCTCGGATGATGTGAAACAAGTTTTAGTTGGATTGATGAGAGATCTTAGAGGAATTGCAATGGCTACCAGTAGGTTGGTTTTGCTGTCACATAGTTTATTTTTACGTGATTTCTTAATTCTTACTGATTTCTAGTACATTCTTCACTGAATATATACAGTCGGAGGACATATGGTTTCCTTTTTGATTGGCTATATCCAGCACGCATGCCACTTATACTGAAAGCCACCACTGTATGGGCTGATGTTTCAGAGGTCAGAACAAATTGGCAATTCATACCCCCCCCCCCCCCCCCCCCCCCCCCCCCCCCCACTTCGTTTATCTTTAAGGTGTAATTTAACTCTGTCAAAGAGATGCATTATTTTTACACAAATGTTGGAAATGAGTAGGTGGATTAGGAATTTCGACATTTGTATCATGGTGAGGTACTGGCTTTTGTACTTTGATGCACTGATTATGGGTGCTTTGAGAAAATATTTACCAACAAAGAATGAACTACATGGTCAGTTATATATATATATATATATATATATATATATATATATATATATATATATATATATATATATATATATATATATATATATATATATATATATATATAAGAATAGGAAATTGCATTTTGTCAATTCTCATCTGTTTTTAGTACTTGATGTGCTCAGCAACTTGAAGCTTCTGATTATTACAGTTAATGCCATATCTATTCAGGAGCAAACATTTAGGGGATGTTTGGTTCATGGAAAATGTTTTCCAAAGGAAAACATTTTCCTTAAAGTGAAGGAAAATGTTGTTTTCTAGTGTTTGGTTCATGGAATTCATTTTCCATTGGAAAATGAATTCCTTAAATTTGAGGAAAACAAAATCCTTGGTTGAACCAAGGATTTTGTTTTCCATGGGAGATGGGAAGAAAAAGTGACTAGATTGCCTATTTACCCTTGCTTTCTTTTTAAATTATATTACTTTTATTAATTTGTAGGGGCATATAGGTCTTTATACTCATTATTCCTTACAATTCCAAATCTAACCAAACAATAGAATTAGTATTCCCAGTAATTCTTTTTCCACCAACCAAACAATGAAATTCATCTTCCTAGTAATTGTTTTTCCATGGAATTCCAATTCCACTTCCCTTAAAATATTTTCCGCGAACCAAACGAGCCCTTAGTATTAAATATTTAGTATACGTCATGGTGGAACAAGGGCTCCAAGTGATACCCCTCAGATTATAATGCCACTGGGGAAGTCTTTTTTTGGAAGGGGATTGGTTGGGAGATGACATTTTATCACTTTTTTAAAAATATATTTTTTATATTTTTATTTGGTAAGTAATAATTTCACTGACTAGAAATGGTGTGAAGCTGGTGCTGCACCATACCAAACTAATGGTCAAAATTAAGTAGAGGTTGGAAATCATTAAGCTCCTCTGTGCAAACATTACTCTTTTTTACATGAATACGAAATAACTTTGAAGCAATCTTCATTTAGGTGATTTTCCATCTTTATACTCCTGCTAGTACAAGGAAGGGTGATTTCATTTTGCAATATGCCCTTGTGCTAACATTTTGTATATAGGCCACATATTTCAATGTATCAATTTTCTTTATGAATTCTCCATTTAGTTCTCAATGAGGTGCTTTCTGAGAATCAAGATGATCACTCCATCTCATTCTCATATCTTTGAACTCTATGCATCATTATTTCATGGAAGTTGGTTTCTTGAAAGTTGCCTCTTCCATCTAAGGTTATTTTGTGCTTGTTTGGTCCCATGATAATGATGTGTGATCGCATGTTTCAATGGAATGACACAGGTCACAACACCAATACTCAAATTCATTGCTGAGTTTGTGCTGAACAAGTCCCAACGCTTAAATTTTGAAACATCATCTGCCAATGGAATACTACTTTTCAGGGAAGTCAGCAAATTGATAGTTGTGTATGGATCAAGAATTCTGTCTCTTCCCAATCAGGTGGATATGTATCAGTTCAAGTACAAGGGGATGTGGATTTCTCTAACTATTCTCGTAAGAGGTAGGAGCATTCTTAACTTTTAAAATCATACTATCTATTTAATGGCACTTTTAAGTGGAAAACTGTGACTTGCAATATGAGCAGATTAATAAGGAGTCAGAATTTGAAGGCTATACTTCTTGGATCTGTTTTGTTTAGCTTTACTTGTACATTTCTATTGAATGAACTTAGTATCATATTATTGTCATTTTTATTTTTTATTTTTTCTGTTTGGCCAGAAGCTAGTAGCTGATAAGCTAATTGATTGAATTTGAAGTGTTAATGAAATAGTTTTTTTAGTGTAAAAGGACTTAAAGGGATATTTTTGAAAGTATATGTTATTAATTTGGTATATTTTTATTTTTTATTTTAATAACATATTGTAAAATTTATTTTATAGTTTGCGAGTTTTATGGAAAGAAAGAAAGAGGGAAAAAAAAAAGAAGAGGAAAGATAAAATAAGAGATGGGAGTGCATTACATTGGCAATTAAAAATTACTGTAAAATTGGATTTTTTTTTTTTATTCATATGTGTAATGTGTTAATGTACAAAAGGATGAGGGTAAAACTGGAAAATTATTAAAAGTTAACTTCTCTTAAGTTAAACTCTAATTTGAGTAGCTTCTCATAAGCTATGGAGTGTAAGTTACCAAAAAGCTTGCTTCCAAAGCACTCAGCTTTGAATTTTCTATTATTCAAAATGTTCTTTTTTTAGTTTACATTTTGAATCATTTTGAGAGAAGTTATCTTTGAATTACTCAGATGCATTTTTTATGGGATAACATGGTGTTGGCATTGCTATGGGATAAAGCAGCTACTACATTTTATGGGTCTTACTTAAAGATTTGCAAGGGTAGATTGGCATGCTTATGTTATTTGACTCTCTAATACCTTCTTTCTTTCGTTAGATGACTTCTTTTCCTCATTTTTCTGTTTCATTAATAAAATCTTTTTCTTTCCCGTTAAAAGATTAATTTTTTGTATAAAACGAGAAGGAAATGACTGAATGAGAGGAAGGAGCGCCGTTTAGTGTGCTTGTTCTTACTACCAATGTATATCCATGATTTCACTACATGAAAAAGGAATGCTATTAGTCTTGGTTTCTCTTGAAGCTGTCTTAGTTGCCCTCTGTATTTTCATTTTGCAACACTATAAAGTTGATTTTTGGTCTTTATGCTACATTTTTTTATGATAGCACTTTGTGGTAACTATGTCAACTTTGGCGTGTTCGAGATATATGGGGACAGAGCACTTGCTGATGCTTTAGAAACTGCTATGAGGATGGCTTTATCTATTCCTTTGACTGATGTACTTGCATACAGAAAGGTAAGTCATGTATTTTAGTAAGCATCTTTTATTGATTAAGCATTAGCTGCTAGTAATTTGTTGAGAGCATTTTGTGATTCGTTGTATGGATGCATACTTCAATTGAGTCATCTCACTTGTGTTTGGCTGCTAGTTTTAATACTAAGCATCTTTTGTCGAACAAACCTTCAGCTGCTAGTAATTTCCTGAGAGCATTTTGGGATTCTTTGTATGGATGCATGCTACAATTGAGTCTTTTAACTCATTTTTGGAGAAGATTTAATTGTTTAACTTAGTTTTTTTCTTGGGATAATTCACTTAGACCTCTGAGGCTTCTCAGAACTGTGGGGGTAGCCCTTTTAGAGCATTGCTGTGAAATGACCTATTCTCTTATAATACAAGTAATCATTATCCCACAAAAAACAGTCAACCTTGTGAAGGGGGTAACTTTTTTTCATATGGTAACTAAAAACAATCACTTGAAACAGGGTAACTGAATTAATTCTTCTAATTCATATTCTTTATTTTCACTTTTTATAGTTCTATTAAATTAAGAAGAGGTTAAAATTCTGAAATAAATTCAGTTACACAATCATGCTGTATTTTGATTGGTTGGTTCCAAAATTATTCTGTAGATTCCAGCTGCACAATCATATGCTTCTTTTGGCTATTTGCTGTGTTATGTGTACTTCTATACTTGATTCTATTGAGTAGTTTCTTTTAACAGTTCCCAAAATAATTAATTGCCTTTTCCTCTAAATGCAAATTATCCCCTTTCTTGAGCTCCCTTACTTAGAAAGAACAATACCTTACGGTTTTTTAATTGTGCAGCTTGCAGCAGCCTACTTCACATTTCTGGAGGCTCTAATGAAAACACAGATCTCATTTGTTTTGAATTTGGATACAAGCAGCTTTATGTTTATTGCTGGATCTTTGGAGTCTGGTCTTAAAGTACTGGATGCAAATATCAAATCACAGGTCTGTTCTTTGTCATCTTTCATTTTACCTGTTTGCTTCTTGCTCAATATCTATGGAACCTCATATAAACAGTGCTTGCATCTAATGTTTATTTGCAAGTTATATGATTGCTCCTTGATAATAATCTCATTTCTTTATAATGCATTTCAGTGTGCATCTGCTGTAGACAACTTGGCTTCTTTCTATTTTGAATGCATAACAGCTGGAGAGTCACCTACTTCCCCAGCCGCTCTAAAACTTGCTCAGCATTTCTCAGATTGTCCTAATATTTTTCTTGAAGTAAGTTCACTCTTCTTCCTCTTCCTTTTTTTTTTTGTACCATTTATATGGAACAGTGCCTTATGCATTGCCTTTCTTTGAGGTGCTCATCAGAATGTGTTTGGTAAATGGCTGTTAGTTGATAGTTGTTAGCTGATTGGGTTAGTGGGTTTAACTAGCTGATAGCATTAGCTGATTTTAGAGAAGTGTTTGGTAAATTAGCTGTTAGCTATTAGTTGATTACATACAAAATGACTTTCTCAAAAAGCTAATCGCTTTTTGAATTTTAGCATTTTGGAGCAATAAGTTATAAAAAGCTAATTAATCAAACACTCATATTGATTGTTTAACCAAGTCAAACAGTTAATAGTGGTCAAATAAGCCAAAATTAGCTGATAGGCTAAGTATTTTACCAAACAGGGTTATGTTTTTTTCTGGATTGAAGGCATTTCATTACTTTCAGTGAAGAAATTCTCTTGGTTCCTATGTTGTGCTTCTACAGTCATAATATGATAACTTTTATTTTGTGTGCTTCACAAAGAATACTCACTCTTTATAGTTGAAATAAATGTTCAATTGTCAGACTTGTACAGTACTCTATTCTGCCAAAATGCATATTACCTGAAAAGTATTAGAGATATTGTTTCTTCATTTTGATATTAGTATTTCTATCACTACCAAATGTTGCTTCCTTTTTTTTTTTTTTTTTTGGTTACAAATTGAAAACTTTCTCAAAAATGGCTAAGCGGTGAAACTCTATGTAATTAGTGTTACTTATTATGTTCACAAGCCATCCTTTTGGCTTAACACTTCTCTGAACTTCTACTCTATACCCAATAAGTGCAAGTAGAATGTTATACCCAATTAAGTGCAAGTAGAATGTTATACCCAATTAAGTGCAAGTAAATGATGCTATTGTGTTTTACTTGTAATGTAAGGAGTAAATAATAGTATTAGAAAATATTTGCATAAAAAATTTATTTGATCTGGATGTGATTTGATCAGGTAATATCACATTTTCTTGGTAATTATGTGAACAAGTTATACAATATTGGAAGTGCTGACATAAACATTTTCCCTGCTAGATATTGAAGACTCTCTTTGAGATAGTTTTATTCGAAGATTGTGGCAACCAGTGGAGCCTAAGTAGACCAATGCTGAGTTTAATATTAATAAGCGACGAGGTAACTTCTGGATACCTTTGCATTTATTTCCCTTATTGATTCATAATTTGTTTTCTACATTCCGCTGTGCATGGTTTGCTAGTTTGGCCGTGAAAGCACATTGGCTTTCTGTCTGTGATAGTCTATACTTAATGGCATTTTGCCTGATATATGATTGTGTATCTTGCAGATGTTCTCTAATTTGAGGGCTCAGATTTTGGCTTCACAAGTAAGTTTAATTGCCCATGTGCGGTTATTACACCTTGTTTCTTTTGTGGATCTGGAGTGTTCCCATCCCATATGTGACTGGTTTATAGTTTAAAAGTTGTGTCAGGAAATTCATATTAGAAGTGATGCCAGTCCTGATTTATATGATAACATAATATTTTTTTCATATTCAAAGGATCCAGAAATTTTTAATACACTTTTCAGGTGTGAACAATAACTTGTTCTTGACTGGTCTTCTTTGAATATTATTAAACAGCCAGTGGATCAACAGCAGCGCCTTTCCTTGTGCTTCGATAAACTTATGTCCGATATAACTCGAAGCTTGGATCAGAAGAATAGAGACAAGTTCTCCAACAATTTAACTAGATTCAGAAATGAATTCCGGACCAGATAAGACACTCTCAGCTCACTTAGTGCCATTTTGTATATGATCGCTCCTCCCTTCACCCTCTCCAAGACAAATGAAGAAAAAGAACAGATTTTAAAAGAAATGCAACAAGAAAAACAAAAGATAAGATAGATCAATGTAGAAGAAAAGAAACATACAGAGTATTTGAAGCATTGGAGGCGGTTGAACTACATATTCTCAAAAGATTCAGTCTTTTAGCCTTTCTTTTGCCTTGTTGTATGTGACCAATATCTGTATTCTGTGTACAGTTATTCATTTTATGAATTGGGGTTTTGTCTTTTGATGGTAGCTTGCCTTCTTCACTTTGCTGCCCATAAATTTCAATTTGTCGGGCTTTTGTGCTCTTAAGATGAAATTATATATGAAAAATTCTAAGTTGGTGATCAACATCATTATGTATAACATACATGATTTTGTGTGTGTATGTATATCTGTGTGAGTGTATATATGAAGGTGCTTATAGGCACCAATCAGTTGAACCCAGTATAGTCTCAAAGTGGATGGACAAATTATTAGTCTTGATCATTATTCTAGATTTTTTATATAATTAATTAATTAATTAATTAATTAATTCTAAGAGAAGATCGAAAGGGAAGGTGCTCCGAATTATTCAGGAGAGAATTGCCGGACTGTTTAATAGCCAGAAAAAAAATGATATAATGCAATCTTAATTTTAAGGTAGATTGCATTGACCTTTGACCCAAGCAGTCTCAGTCACGTGGCCGTGGTTCAATTCATGGTTCATAATCAACTAGTCATTGGTTAATTTGGATTTTTTTTAGGTATTACAAATCTATTTTAAAAAAAAGGACTTTGCACTTAATTTTACTAAGACTAACTGACTAAGTGAATATTTGTAGTAAAATGGATTGTCAATTTAGGTCTTAACTTGTCAGCACTTTTTATTATAATTACGGTTCGTAATTGTGAATCGTCTTATTCAAATCGTAATCAATAGTTCATAATTTGTTAAATAAAAAACTTTAACTATAATCATAGTTCATCCTATTTGAATTTTAATTATAATATTACATACGAATTAGGGTTGGATTGCATAGTACATGATTAAATTTTGAACCCTCAATTAACTCTCTAGTCTCACCACTAACAAATGGCTATGTTATTATTGAATGAGTAATACTATATCTACTTCCACATTTTATTTCTATCATCGCTTACATGTCACCCTTTGAAGTGTTAGTCAAATAGTTTTATTTTTTAATTTTTTTTTAGTGTAAAAGGACTTAAAAGGAATATTTTTGAAATTATATGTTATTAATTTGGTATATATTTTGATTTTTTATTTTAATAACGTATTGTAAAATTTATTTTATAGTTTGCGAGTTTTATGGAAAGAAAGAAAGATGTATTTTTTATTTTAATAACATATTGTAAAATTTATTTTATAGTTTGCGAGTTTTATGGAAAGAAAGAAAGAGGGAAAAAAGAAAAGATGAAAGATAAAATAAGAGATGGGCACATTACATTGGCAATTAAAAATTAATATAAAATTGGAATTTTTTTTCTATTAATATGTGTTATTGTACAAAAGGACGAGGGAATTCAAAAGAGATTTCAACAAGTGGTTATAAAAATTGAACTTTACTAATCATCGTTCAAGCTGTTTGGCTCTTTTCTTTCATATGGAATTCAATTCGAAGTTCGAAGCTGTTTGGCTCTTTCATCCAGAATTCCAAGCTGTTTGGCTCTTTTGTCAATGTTTTTAATTAAAGCTGGAATTCCAAGTTGTTTGGCTCTTTTGTCAATGTTTTTAATTATCAGCGAACTCAAAAGCTTTGTAAGGACCTAGGACCTAAGGAACTTACAAAGAGCCATCAAAGCTGACCTAAGGAACTTACAAAGAGCCATCAAAGCTGGAATTCCAAGCTGTTTGGCGAAGCTTTGTAAGGACCTAGGACCTAAGGAACTTACAAAGAGCCATCAAAGCTGACCTAAGGAACTTACAAAGAGCCATCAAAGCTGGAATTCCAAGCTGTTTGGCTCTTTTGTCAATGTTTTTAATTATCAGCGAACTCAAAAGCTTTGTAAGGACCTAGGACCTAAGGAACTTACAAAGAGCCAATAACGCTCCACTGAGGAGCGAACTCATAATCTTCCAAATGGAAGTCCAACCCAAGTACCATTAGACCACATAATCCTGGTAGGAACTTGGATTACTTAAACTCATGGATTTGCTTGAATTGTTACAAATGATACCCCATGAGGGGTATTTATAGTCATTCCACCTCCTAAATGGATGGTGGAGATTTACCTGATCTAATGACTAATAATCTAGTTCTAGAACATTCCATAAATCTTTACACAACTAAGAATATTTTATAGGGTTCTAGAATATTCTAAGTATCTCTACAACTACTAGTATTATATACATGCTTCTAGAAAATTTTATAAACTATGGGAAGATATGGGAAAGTTCAAGATAACTCTAGGAGAATGTAGGATACCTCGGAAATATATAGCTAAGTGCCCCGCGCGTTACATCCTCCCCCACCTAATTCGACGACGCTCTTGTCGCCTTGTATGTCTCCAAACGTCTTGGAATTGTCATAAATCCTCTTCGCGTTCCCATGTTGTCTCCGATTCGGGTAGTCCCTTCCACTTGATGAGGTAGTGAGTTTGAGGTGGAACTCCTCTTTTACGAACAACCCTTTATGTGAATTTGGTGCCCTTGTACATATAATTCCCGCAAGTATTGCATCTAACACTCATTGGAAGCATCATGCGAACCTTCACCTGGTGGTTCTTTGGTTGTCTCCGGCGCGGTATCTTCGCCGGATCGAAATCTGATGGTGTACTTTTGCATTGAAAATTATATTATTTTTCTAGAAAAAATAAAAACAGAGAATACGTTTATTTGTATTAAAAAAAAAAAAAAAGGAATGGAGAATGAAAATGATAATGTAATGAAAGGGGAAAGAAAATCTAAGTAAACACATTAGTGTAAGGTAGCATTACTATAAGATCTTAAATAAATTACTACGTTTAATTTGTTTTACCTATTTTTGCGATCCAGTGTTGAATTGGAATCATTTAATAATCATAAAAGGTATTACTCTTGTCTTCATGACTTCATCTAATTTTGAAGATTAGAATAAAAAATGAAGGAAAAAAAGTCATTATCTTCTGCATTCAAAGAAAAAAAAAGGCGTTATCTTTTGCAGTGGAGATGCTTCTTCAGTTGATATTTTTATGAGAGCCCTGAATGAATTGGAAAAGACTTTGGGTGTTCCTAATATTATTGTGGCATATAATTGTTTTTGGTCATTTATTAACAAATATGTTTAAATCACATTAGGAATGATGTTATTAACCTATCAAAATCCTCAATTTTACTTCTTCTTCGTAATAAAAAATGGGGACAAGGGTCAAATAGACCCTTGAACTATAGGCAAAAGAGCAATTAGGCACTTCAACTTTTAAAATGTGCAATTAGGCCCTTCAACTTATTATTTTGAGTCCAATAACAGGTTTTTCACCTGAAATAAACGGTCAACAGATCTGGTCGCTTTCTCCACCGGAGAAGACAACGGAACGGTTGTCTTCTCTGGTAGTTTTTTTTTTTTTTTTTTTAATTCGCCGGAAAACGTCGCCGGAATTTGTTGACCGTTTATTCCAGGTGAAAAACCTGTTATTGGACTTATTTGACTCAAAATAATAAGTTGAAGGGCCTAATTGCACATTTTAAAAGTTGAAGGGCCTAATTGCACTTTTGCCTATAGTTCAAGGGTCTATTTGACCCTTTTCCCTAAAAAATGTTATCAATACATAAGTCTACTACAAAATCTAAAAAAAATACAATTGAAAAAATCACAAGTCTATTTTGCATGGCAAAGCTTAAGTCTAGTGCACAAATTTACTTCATTAAAATTCAAAAGACTTGTGGTAGTTCTATTACCAAGAAGAAAAAAAAAAAAAAAAGAAGAAGAAGAGGATTTTGAGTGGTTAATAACGTCATTTTAATGTCATTTAAAGTACATATTTGTTGACGGATCGGAGGACCAAAAATGGTCATGTCACAATTATATTAGGACAAACATGGATGTTTTGAAAAAAAAAAATGACTAAAATGGAATACATATATAAATCTGCTAGGACCAAAAAATGAAAAGAACTTAACACTTAGAACTGAATATATCAAAATGCCCTTGTATTTAACTCCATTTAAACGATTTTGTTGATGGATGGCAAAAAAAGATCATATGTCACAATAATACTTGAACCAAATTAAACAAAAATATTTTAAAAACAAAAAATAACTAAAAGTAGATTGACACCTATAAATTAATTATGACAAAAAATAGAATTAACTCATAAAATATTCCTACATATTTACAAAAAATACTATTATATTTTTTATTTAAACTCCTATGAATTTTCTAAGACTATTATTTTTCCCCAAAACGATACTGTTTTTCTTACCAACCTATATATTAATCCAACTAAGTATATATATATCCATTATTACATTATTATTGAGACACTCTTTTTTTTTTTTGGTGCGCCCTGAGATTCGGTATGTTACACACTTCTAAATTTATCACTTCATGGCAAAATCCTAACCATTAATAAAGTTAAAATTATAATTATAAAAGTAAAACTAATGTCTCAAATTTTGCCACATCAATAGAGTATTAGTTGTTTTAATTTGCGCATCGCAAACGTAGGGTGTTTAGCATTTTCCAATATTAATTGAATAAACATCTCAAATTCTCAATTAATTCGAGTCTCAATAGACCAATTGTATATGGAATAAGTTTATTTATTTTTTATTTTACAAGAACGTCTATCGTTGTTATTCAAAATTTTGTAAATTGACTCATATGGAATTTTATACCAATTTGATTTCTATAAAAACTATTTAACGTTATGTTAATTAATTTAATATCATTGAATAAACATTATATATTTAATGAAAGTAAAACATTTGATGATTATTATAAAAAATCTACAAAAATAGAAAACTTAAATAATACTCGTAAAGAATAATAAAAGTATACCAAATAGTTTTTACTTGAATAGTGGAATAATACAAGTAATCATTATGTAACGCCCGTGCAGCATTGCTACACATTTCTGAGGTTTGCTACATATTTTCGGACTTCTCAAGCACATGTACATAGTATCCCATAGTTGGTAGAATATTATAGATGTATGTATATAACATTAGTAGTTGTAGAGATCCTTAGAACTTTTTAGAACATTAAGGAATCCTCTAACTTGTGTAGAGATATTTGAAGGATTCTAGAGGGCAAATCTTAACCACTGGATTAAGTAGATCTCCACCATCCATTGAGGAGGTGGAATGCGTATAAATATCCCTCATGAGGCTCATTTGTAAACCACCTCAACAATTCAAGAAACTTAAA